AAAAGCCTATAAAGAAACCTAAGATAGCTATACTAGAAAAGTATAACGGAAATCGCGATAGTTTACGAATATTCCTTACTAGTATTGACCTATACTATAGTTACTATAAGGTGCCTAATAACGAAGGAAAGATCCTTATAGTACATACTTATATAAAAGAGAAAGTAGTAACCTAGATGTAACCGTACGTGGAGGATTTCCTAGCAGACCTTAAAGCTAAAGGAACGAAGAACGAGACGCGTACCTTATTTAGTAGTTAGGTATACTTTAAGAAAGAAATAGGCCGTATCTTTAGGGAAGTAGACGCTGAAAGCTAGGCTAAGAAAACGATATCTCGCCTAAAGCAGACTAAGTTAGTATTAGCGTATACTGCTAAGTTTAAGTAATACTAAGCACTAATTAACTAAGATAATTTAGCCCTACGTATAACTTACGAGAATAGTCTAAAGAAAACTATTAAGGGCGAACTTATATACTACGATAAGCTAAAGAACTTATACTTGTTAATTAAGTTAGTAATAAGAATTAATACACGATTATAGAAAAGAAAGGAAGTTTAGAAAGGATACTAATAAGGGCTACCTATTGCTAATACCTAATAATTTTAGAATAATAAAGACAGCGACGGAGATATATATATAACTAGCAAAGTATAAGATAGGTCTAAAGATAAGAATAAGAAACTCTAAGAAAAGTTTAATAATAGTCTCTTCTTAAAAGAACGTAAGAAGCGTTATAATAGTAAGGTATACCTCTGCTATAGCGAAGTAGAACACTTCTGTAGAGACTACCTAAAGAATAAGTTAACTAAGAGAGTTTAGGAAAAGGTGCGAATACTACGAGTAGGGATACTATACCCTACTAGAGAACTAGATAAGACTCTTAGTAACCTAGACTTATACGACGAGGTAAGATAAGCTACTAATAAGGCCTTTAAGCTAGTATAAGAGGTAATAGAACTTTAAGACTTTAAGTGAGACAACCTACTACTAATAGATTAGCAGATTAAAGGGGCTAAAGTATTACGCTGCCTAAGAAATTAATAATACTAGATCTATGGACTTATAATATACGTAGCTAATAATTATAACTACGAAGGTTAGGTTACTATTATAGAACTCTAAGTAGAGGAAATTACCTACTAGGCGGCCTAGGAACAGCCTAGGTTTAAGAGACCTAATAATAAGGAAGTGTCTTAGACGTTTAAGGAACGTATAGAGCAATACGAGCGCCTATGTTAGGTTAACTATCTAAGATAGTATAACTACTACTTAAGGAAGCGAGAAGAGACTAGGAATAATAAGAATGATTACTACTACACTAACTTATAGTATAATAAATATT